ATTCGAGATTCTGTCTACATCGAAACACACCAGCAGCAAGTATGCAATATCGGAGCGGCTGTCGGTAAAGAAGAAACACCACACACGGTGCTTCGTCCTCTGTGAGTATGCTCTGTCCCTCCATCTCTCTGGGTATCTCTATATATCTGAGCATGGTCCCCATGTAAGTATAGAACTACGGAGGAGTCCATCTGAAACTGGTTCCGCCATACCAGCACGTCAGCAGCGCGTGAACAGCCCCAGCTCCCCTCCGATGTGCTGCCTTTTTGGTTCATGATTTCGGTCAGCGATTGCAATAGGGCTCGGTGGCTGCATTTCCGATGGAGGCGGAAATGTTGTAGGCCCGTGTGCTCAGATTTGGGTGCACGTTAAAGAACCCCCGGTGGTCGAAATTTCCGGAGCCCTCCACTACGGCGTCTCTCATAATCATATGGTGGTCTTGTGACGTTAAACCCCACAAATCGAATCGAATCGATTGCAATAGGGCTGGGAAGGATACGAAAGAGCATATACGCAGCGTATTGCGTACTTTCCTCGTGTCAAAAAAATACAGCCTACGCAATTATTGGCCGGCTGCTTCGCATGACACCGATTCTCATAAGGCGTGGGATCCGCCGATATTTTTTCTTTGATTATACGTTCGAACATGAGAACATCTGATGCAATTTTTCATGACATAGCTGTCTAGTGGTTTCGCTTAGCGTAAGCGTCTCCTAGCCCCTTGTTTAACCTCTTCGCGAACTTCCGTGTGCTACAGCAAGGGAAAAGGTTCAAGAGCTTCTGGTTGAGCTTGTGCACCCTCATAAGCGGACACAGTAAACCAGTTCAGACTCATAAGGGGTTTACTTTATCTATACCAAGCACCCTTACACCTTAGGGAAAGTGTGTTTTAATAAATGAATAACCTGTCGTAAATCAAAATACCATAATATGTGTCATTTGGGGAATGAGAATGTCCATATTATGAGGGGCTGCCAACTGTCTAAACCACAATACTTCTAGCACCGTGATCTAAACACCCTTATAACAAAAAAAAAACACAAAAAAGCCTTCTCGTCAGGAAACAACCAATTGCACATGACTCATGAATCGATGATATATGTGTGACTATAAGAGACAGGGAGAGAGCAGAGCGGGCCAGGGAACAAACGGGAGTTAAGGACATCGTATTAGTTAATAGCAAAAAAAAAAAAGAAATGGATATGGGCAGGGCACGTAGTGTGCAGACAGGATAACCACTGGTCATTAAGGGTAACTGACTGGATTCCAAAAGAAGGTAAACGGGCGAGAGAGACAGAAAGTTAAGGGGGCAGATGAGACTAAGAAGTTTGCGGATATAGCGTGGCAGCAGAAAGCACAGGACCGGCTTGATTGGTGGAGCAGGAAAGGCCTTTGCCCTGCAACGAGTTTAGTCAGGATGATGATGATGATGACGATGATCATCACTGCTGCTGGGGTTATTTATGTTCCGTGTAGTTGAACAATAAACAATAACACAAATGTGCAAATTTAAGGTGCGTTTCTAGACAGCCTGACATACTCATACCTTTAAATCTAAGTTCACCGAATAAATGCGACATTTTATCAGCGAGTCCCAATTATTCTTTGGCATCGTGTGGGTCACAGGTGTTTCAACAACCCATAAAACTTCTATCTCCTGAAATGTGTTTTAAATTAAAAATTTCGCCCCCATGATAACTTAAAGCATAGTTGGGGAAAGAAAACACTCTCATTTCGGGAGATTCTGGTTAGGCAAAAGGAATTTTTGCAAGCTTGAGAGTGTTTTAATATTTCAAAGTGGTTTACACTGCACTCCCTGCACTATGGGCAGCACTTCTCTATATGTTCCCACCCGCTTGCTCGCGCCCAATGCATGCAGTACACCAGTACAACAACGTTGTCTATGTACTGCAGCAGTTTTTGTAATCCTTGATGCGCAGCCATGAATGTTGGAGCTCTGGGCTATAGTGAACGCCCACGTGACCTAGTTCAACTGCATACTGCACTGGAGGACTCCGTTTTGACCACATAAACGTGGCACGCTCAGGCGCACTAAAATAGCTGGACAGACGGCAGATCACAGAGAGCCAAATGTTCCGGTATAAAGGTACGAAGACTTCAGCGCGATGTATTAATATGAAACGCGTCGCTTTGCCTTGCAAAAACACTGGATCGACAGCCTGGGACATTTACATCGAATAGTGTCCTTTTGTGTTACTTGGGCTCTGAATTTGAGCTACTTACATTCACAGGCTCTTCTACTCTTTCGTTCATTCGTACCCGGCATTCTGACTTGGGCAGTCGTGCGAAACTGCGAGGCGGCGGTGTGGCAAAGCTTGAACTAATGTGCCTCGATGCGTGCAAGGTCGCATCGAGGCACGCTATATAGCTTTGACGTTCTCTCGTTGGATACCTGAACCCGGGTCGCGTAAGAGCTTGACGGGTGTTTGAGAAAGTTGTATCCATCTACACATTTGGCACTGACATCGTCGTGACCTGAACTTAACGGCCAAAATAAACGAGATTACGAAATGACGAGTCGTCTCGCTCAGTTTTGAAGTTTAATGAATTCTCGAAAAGTGGCCTCATCTCTTTTTGTTTTTCTGTCTTTTACTGCGTCTTCTGTAAGCGCTTTCAGTTCGTGCATTTGAAAAGAACGAGCAAAGTGTCTGGTTAGAACGGGAAACTGGGCTATCTGTACTGAATCTGGCATGACCCGAACCGTTAATGGTTTAAGCTTTGCTTCACTGAAGCCAAGTGAGAGTTGCCAAGTTCTAGCGGTGATCTTGAAGTGACGATGAATGACATTGTTAAAATACTTATAAAGCAACCCAGGTCACGAAGCGAGGTAACTACTAAAATGTATTATCTAAATTCATTGTTGCAGTTCGACACCGGCACTCCAGTGTATACGCTAAAGGTTTACGATGAGAACTGGAAAGGGAACAAACAGAAATGCAGAAAATCCGCAAAAGGTAGCGAAGTTAACCATAAAAATGTCCGGTTGTCTACACACGCTGAAAGAATGGTAAAGGAGAATACAAAGATGAGGAAGAGGGACAGAAATAACATAATCAGCAAAGCTAGGTAGGAATAACTCTGCGCATAGCACTCGATCTGCTTATTTACAATGATGGCGCGTGTTGCTGGGCGAGTCGGTCGCACGTAATTACACAAAGCCAGCTTTTCCGCAAAATAGAGAGGAGGAGAAAGAAAGTTAATGGTAACGCAGACGGGAGCAAAATTAGAGAAAAGCCAACGTTTTCGCTATAGCGTCGAATAAGGTGGAATTGAATTCATTGATTGAAAAGAATAGACTTCATTACATGAGAAGCTTATACACATTCTTAAAGAAAACCCGCTTGTTGTAAATTTTTCGAGAGCCTGTGGCTTCGCTACAGATAGCTGTCTGACGAGACTGTCATTCGTTATTTCAGCCCACTGCGATGATTGGGAGTCTCTCAAAAATTACGGCTACCCCCCCCCCCCCCCCCAACTGTGTCGAAGAAAAATTAAAAAAAAAAGCAAGAAAGGAACTATCTGTAAGAGGAGAAAAACGAGTGACACCGGATCAGAGAATACCTTGGCAGCTAGCTGTAGGCTCTGGCCTTGCTGCTTACTAGAAATCGATAGCACGAGGCTTCGTTCCTCAGGGGCCGGCTTTGCACAAACGATACGCTTACTCGGCGTGATGCTCGCCTACAGACTATCTGCAGTCTTAATTAAGGGACCACATGTGCTCGCCAGTGAGGGTCGATTGGACGAACGAAAAATAAAACTAGAATTTCATGAGCTCGCTCCGTTGACGGATCAGACCGTTATGTTTGTGTGTTAAATAACTGATTCTTTATAAACGAAGCCGAAGGAGGGGGCTCATTTGCTGTTGATTTTGAATTCATTATTACTGAATAAGGTACATGAAAATAAAGGAGCGAAATGAACAGGGAGTGCTTCTGGTAGTGAGCGTACAGCATAAATAAGTCGGACGTGCGTGAGTGAATCAGGTATTTGGTTCGTTATTCGATCGGTAGGTTTGGTTTGATTTGGTTCGGTCGGTTGACTGGTCATTCGGTCAGTAAGAGAAAAAATTTCTAAGAACGTCAGACAATATTACTGATTAATATCGCCAATCAAGCACGTGCATTCGGCTAACTGCGGATGAGGTTCGTGTGCCCTCAACCTCGTTTTTCAATATCAAGCAATGAAGTGAACCTGGGTGACAGATACAACCGGTGGTTGCTGTTATTCTTCGCTGCCATCCACAACTATACCTAACCATTGATAAGCAACTCCTCTGTGCTCTCGGCCACGACTCCGGTGACATGTGACGATGGTTGAGGCCCATAATAACAGCGAAAGCAGCATTGATCGAGATAACAATGTAAACAGCCGATTTAGGCGCCACCTCCAACGCTGGTGTCAGCGACCGGTACCCTATCGCGAAAGACAAAAATAACTGTATTTGAAAATTTTCTAGGAATAGATGGGCTTTGAACCCGGGACCTCTGCATGCCTGTCGACTATACACAGATGAGGCACAGCACACAGCCATGCTGGTTTTGGAAATTCACTGGCTAAAACACCCTATGAAAGTGTCATGCGGTGTCGTGTGGTGTAAAACATGCTATGCAGTGTTCTCAATGCAGTGAAACTTCGCTCAGAAGAACTTCAAGGGACTCCGGAAAAAAAAAAAAAAGGTTAATGAAAGTTCACCTGAATGAAATAACAATGTTCCCATTGAATAAGGAGCTAAAGAAAACATTAGTGGGTAAAATGAAACTTGAACCCCTTTATCAAGGCTGCTTGTTATAATGTGAACATTGGAACAGCTTTTAATCACCTTGGATACAGCCCAGACCATAGCGCCCAGTCCTTTTTTGGCGCCACTTGGTTTGCGTTGTTACTTATGCTTGTGGCGCCATCGTACGGCTGAAGAGATAACTTCGACGTGTTTGCAGTGATCAAGTTGGCTTTGTTTGTCTGTCACGTGGCAGAGGTAACATCCACCGTACACACGTGCCATTAACGCGTCGCACGTGTAGATTTGTACGTACCTGCTGAAACGATGTCGATCAGCGACGAAGCTACTGAGAACGTCAAGAAGCCGGGCAAGGCAAGAAGCCCTACCGCCGTTGGAATCACAGGTGAACGAGACGATGGCGCCCTGTCAGCCGTTTGCAGCACATTATCATGGGATATTACCGTGAATCCAGAGCCCCTGGTCATGAGGAAAATCGTGCGAGAAGGCCTCGATCTAGACTACATAAGATTTTTCAAGAAATCGACGGCTGACTATGTTTTCCGAAGGTTGGAGTCCGAAATCGAGTACTTCGAGGGAGACCTGCTCAAGATCAGAGTCTATGGCAAGTGGCGGACGATACCGCGGAAACAAGTGAGTCTGTGAAACGAATCCTTCGCATATTCAGTTAATCGACCGTTTCAGCGACTTGTGCATATTCCTTTCGAGGGTTAGGTGCACATTGGTGCTCGCAGGGTGCTCCATTAGAGGGGGTGGGGTGGGGGTCAAAGTTTCATGATTTTCGTCGTAGGAACCCCTCCGCGCCCGTTTGCTCAGTTCACAGAACATGTTTTTACGTGACGAAGAGGTGCGGCGGGGCTGGTCGCGTTCTCATCCTCACCTCCCTATTTCTTTCTCGAATTTCTGTCTCATTCTTGGTATTTGTCTTTTCATTCTTTATTTTCCCTTACTTCTCTCTATCCCTGTATTTCTCGCTTCTTTATCTCGCATATGGCGACTAGCGTACAAATAGAAACAGACATTGGGCCCTTCATAACCAATGCATGCAAATGTACTTGCACTTTGTTACATACTGGCTAAAGATGATCAATTATCTACAATGTTACGTTGGTCGTTCTCCTAACAGCCGAGCAGGTGGCACAAAATTAAAAAAAAATCTGCTTGTGTTTTTTTTTTCTCGTAATGATTGAATGTAAGAAGCAACTTGTGCATTTACTCTGGATATGTCATTCGTTTTTATAAAGCAAAGGCACAATAAAATGAATATTCAATTAGTCCGTCATGGATAATTAGAATGCACATGTATCAAGTCAATCCACATTACACTGCATTAACCTAACCAAACTATCTTGCAACAAAGTGTACAGTGCCCTGATTACATTGATGATGTTTACACACTTCTAACACCGTGGTTTACACTCATACACAGACCTGCGTAATGCATGTGATGTTTATAGTGGCATTTTCATTCTAATGACCATATGGTATTATTTAGACTTTTGTGCCATGGGAACTTTTGCGGTCTTTTTCTAGGTTACCTATGGTGACAAAGAATGTCCTATGCATTTTCTGGCACCCGACTTCCGGCCAAACCGTGGACTCCTCTTCTCCAGCACTTGAGGGATCTTGTTGCCAATCAAACTGGCCACCGTTACAATTTCGTACTCGTCAACAGGTGAGGGAGCTGTATTAAATATCTAGTGGCATCTTTGGCAAATCGCACAAGTGAACACCGCAAGTACCCTCGTGAAGCATTTCGTTCAATCGTTGTAGCGCCAGAGTGCAGTAGGCTGGTTTCTCGAGGAAAGCATAATGCTTCGCCTATGTCAGCACTACCTATTTGGAAATAAACACACATTTCTATTGCTCTGATAGCTCTAGAAGTTGTAGCAGTGCGTTTTGTTGAACAAAGCGCTTTGTTCTTGCCGCAATATAATGTAGAAGCTCAGTGTAACAATAAAGCTGCCACAGAATGCCATGTCCTAGTGCTTTCTCGTTTTGCACGTCCTATTGGAGCACCACCCTCCACACGTAGGTCAGGCAGGCAAATTTACTACAGGTGCAACTTGTGTATAACATCTCGCATCACGTGTATGTTCGTCACAACAAGTCGCCTGAGTTCAGATAGGTGTGGCAGTTCAAAACAAGGCACTTAGCTGGTTGAAATTGGCTGGGTACTTACTGGCTTAGGCACAGATTAAGTATAAAAATAAGGCTGTCTGTTGTAAGCGTGTAGCGTATTATTACACATATTTTTTTGGCTTATTGTTATGTACCCTACCTGAATAACCGGTGAAGACAGCAAAGTGATAACTTCCTAAAAATATGTGCAAGAGGATCACCATTGTGCACGAGTTCTATTGCTGGCCCATGTAGGAATTTTGCATGCAAAAACAGTTTCTGATGCAATGCATGGTTTAAGGGGTAGTGAGATCAATTTTCTTATGCAAGTTCACTCTGCCGCACTAAATCTCTGAATACAGAGATGGCTGTGAGAAAGCCTGATGCTCTGTAAATGCTGATACGATAATTTACATTGGCACTAAAGCCGATTTTTGCATGGCACACTTTCTGACATCGATACTAGCATGACATCAGGCTACAGTACCAATTTTAGTCACTCGGCACTCCAGTATGGCTAGTTGTACAACTTCAGGTTCTCAGATATTCAAAATGGCCACTTGTGGGTCACTAAGAGAGTTGTGGAGCTCAGCAACGATGGAAACTTCACGACATCCTATGCCAGAATGTGACAAAAAACTTGTATTATGTCCTGACATCAAGATACAGTAGGAACCAAGACAATGTTTTAGAACCTGTGTTGCAATTGATTTTTCAGGGTGCACTCATGTCTACTAGTACATTTTCTTGGCATTTGAGGGCTTGGCCTTTCGTCTGACTCAGAAAACAAGCAATGGAAGATTTTTGTGTCATTGCCTCTTCAACAACAGAGATTCACGGAGGGAATTCGCTCTGAGCAAGCTCAGAGCCAAGTCTTTTTTTTTTGTTGTTGTCCAAGATAAGTTGCCATGGGCTGCATTATTATTAAACTAATGTCATCATTCATAATAACAGTTTCGCTGTATCTGGTATAGTTGTAAATGGACTCAACTGTACTTGAATGGCAAACATGACAGAGTTCATAGGCACAAATGTTCTTGAATATAAGTTAGAACGTGTTCAGAAAAAAGCTGCAAGATTCATCACGAGAAAGTATGATTACAAAATTCGAAGTTCACAAATAAGGGAAGAACTAGGGTGGAAGTTACTTTCCACATGCATAACGATAATCAGGCTAAAACATTTGTACAATATTTACAGAGGTAACACGGGAATCGACACAAACATATATATAAAACAGCCTCATTATCATTCTAGGAGACGCGACAATTCAAGAAAAATAAAGCCCTACCAGTGTCGTAATAACATTTTAAGTTCTCATTTTTTCCTAGAACAATTGAAGAATGGAATCTGCTTCTCGATGATTAGTATGTGCATCAAACTTTTCTTCGGCCATGGACAACTTTCTATGAATCTAGTCGCTAAAATAAATGATGAGCGAATGTCTTAAGCTTTGCCCTCTCGCAAAGGGCAGATATATGCTCGCCAAACAAGAATAGCTTGAATAAAGGAACCTCAAAGCAAAGTTTTTTAGCCTCTCTATTTTCGTAATTGACGGTCTTGCGCACTTTTTATTATTATTATCACTGTTATGTCTTTATGTACCAACGTACATTCTTGATCATGATGACTTGTTACATTCCATTGCAATATTATATGTAATTGATTCCCTGCGATAATGCCCAACTCAGGTGCTGTAGGTATGTAATAAATAAATAATATCCTGGTAGTTTTTACGAATACCTTCACTTTTTGACGGTATCCTAGGACATAGATTCAACTAAAATTAAAAAGGATAAAGGCCATTGCATGGCTTTGGCTAGAGACCTTACTTGCTTTATAAAATTCATGTGAACATTGACCCTGAACATTGACAACACTGGGCTTTTTGAATATTGGATGTAGTTATCATTTTTGTGAGGGCCTGTTGGTATTCACTCAGTGTCATTTGTAAGATTAAAACGTGGCTATGAAATCACCCTTATAACTCATCTTCGATTATATGGATGGCTCAGCAAAAAATTTAGCACCACTCATGAATCTGAACAGAAGAAATATATATTGTGTAGTTCCCCCTCTTCTTTTTAAAGATGATAGTCTTTCTTGAGGACCTTCGATGCAAAAATTTCGGTCTGTCTGTCTGTGCATTTGTCCGTTTGTACACAGCGGCATCGGGTACTTGAAACGGCCGACCCCATTTGCAGCGCCCACCTACGTTGCTGAAGGTCGAGCGTTCATGCTTGTGCAATTATTGCGCATGTCTGGGGCACCATAACAACATGTATATATTCTGCATGTGCGTCTCTAACTAGAAAAGGCATACATAAGTAATTTTAGGGACCGTAGCGCTTATCACGCTGCGCTGACCATGCAACACTTGCAGGGAAAGGCGAGTGTTTGAACGCTTTGCCAAAACGAGATGGTGGTGGCACCTACCCGTCGCCTTGCGTTCTACACCTTATCACCTCTGAGATGGGTACACACACCCGTCTCAGAGCTACGCGTTTTGTTTTCTAAGACAATTGCCAGATGGCGCTTATGTCTGATATGTGACGTGACTTGATGTGCTTGTTCACCTCCGCTGCACGCTCGAGGCACTCTATTGCAGTGCCTCCAGAATATCATTCACCGATTTTCTTGCACAGAACATCAAATAAATGTCTTGTTCACTCTCTCCACACGCAAGACTATTGCCTTTCGACGACATTCGCAGATTACATGCAGATACGGGCCAATGTTTTTGTTCGGCACTACCGTATGGCCAGCTGGTGGAACATTGCAACGTGACTAGTTACCAGATCCCTCTAGCTTGTCAAGATCCCCCGGTGAAATTGAAAAGCGCTTTTTTTTTTCTGGCACTTCTACTCAAGTTTACAGCCAGCTTACATGTATTAGCCTAATAACTGCCTGGTATTGGAAACTAATATGCACTATATCTTTCTCCTGCACCTCTTTCAGGTACAAGGATGGCTCCGATCACATGGGTGAGCACAAAGATGACGAGAAAGACCTCGACCACGCTGTCCCTATTGCATCATTGTCGTTTGGGCAACCTCGAGACTTTTTGCTGAAGCATGGAGACGCAAGGCGCAAGGTACGTCACGTGGAGCCCGTGAAGATATGCCTGGAACACGGAAGCCTGCTGCTGATGAACCCACCTACAAATAGATACTGGTATCATTCACTCCCGCCACGTAAGGCAGCTGTGGGACCTCGTGTGAACCTTACCTTTCGCCGATTGCATGTACTGCCAAGTCGTTAGTGATCACAGATGGGATGTGAACTGGCTGTCATTGCTGTTTTCACTTTTACAGTTCCTATCATTATGGAATTGTTGTTAGCACTAGCCTTCATTATAACAAAGTTGCATCTTACTCGAAAATAAGTTAGTTTTGTCCAATAATTTGTTTTAGTGCTTTGTTCGTAACACTAAATCTATTGCACCACAATTTCTTACTTACTTCATTATAATCGATATTTTGTTTATCTGGGTCCGTTGTATTGAGGTTTAACTTTAATGCAGGATAGGTGTGCAAGAATATTTGTTGCTTTGACAACTAAATAAGTAATGTAGTATTCAGTATTTTTTACACTGCAGCATCAGGATATTTTAGCCGTTGTCATAGATAAGAACATGAATTTATTCCAAATGTAAAGGACCTTACAAGCAGACGATTTTTATAGTGTGAAACAGGCATGGCTGACATGAAAACTGGCATAGGCTGAGCTTCTGCACCACATCTAGAGTTGTTAGGCACAAAATAGCTGTGCTTGTTTTTTTCTATCTTGAAGCATGGAATTAAACGTGCGGGAGTGTTCATTCAGACATCAAACAAGATGTTGGCATCAACGATATCTTTATAGCTGGTTGAAGCAAATCCAGTGAAACATAGTGCAGCCTTACGGACAATACATCAGGTTATTTACTTTACACTACAGATATCTACATCTGTATATACAGATGCATGCATTGACATTTCTGCTAGCATCTTGAACCGCTGACAGAGCAGCCATTGTATATATACTTGTTCGCTCCACCAATTCTTAATGCTCTCTCTCCATCTTACAGTTACATTCAGTGCTCTCGAGTGTTTTTCCCTGGTATACCGCTGAAGTTGGCAAAAGTGGAGGAGCAGAGAGAGACTCCTAAACTTTGACGAGGTGTCCAGTTTTCTTCACTGTTACATGACGAAACAAAATATAGTCAGCGTAAACTGAATATAGTCATTGCATTTATTGAAAATTGCATTTATTTAGCTGAAAGAAAAACTTGAATCGCATCTTTTCAGAAGCACGGGCATCCCTGTTGCATCTTCCCCTCCCACACGCACCACACCTACAGGAGCAGGCTCACTCGGGGTTTGGGTCTAAGTTACAAAGCATACTTGCATGCAAAGAACACTTACACTACCAAACATCATACTCAGAGTTACTGTCCAGTATAGGTGAAATTGTACAGGTTCCTTAGTCATTGCTTCATTCTTCATATCCGCTATGTATTTGCAAGGTCATTTTCTGTAGTGCTGTCGGCAGAACAGTCGCGATACTTCTCGATGGGTGGACAGAGTGTTGCAGGATACTCTACAGGGATGCTAAAGCCTGTTTTGAAGCTCGGGTTCGCCTGTTCATTTTGTTGAGCAGCACTGCAGTCTCTCATATTGTGTTGGCTCTTAGTCGAGGTATCGGACCATTGTTCGTGGGTTTTCATGGGGAGTTTGTGGCGCGAAGGCATGTCTTGTTTGCTGCCTCCAAGTTGACAATGCAGTGCAGTATACAATGTTTCCACCCCTCTTGGCACCTAGGTTGGCCGTCCGCAAAGACATCTGCATTGTGTCGACTGCCTGTGGCATAGAGCTTAATAAATTCAGTGTAGTTTGGTGAAGCCACTGTCGATTACCTGGCCTATAGGGTGCTTTGGAAAATGCGGGGCTTCAGCGTACTGCAGTGTGTTGTCACATTGGCTAACTTTATTTTCTTCCTCAAAAATTTTGAAAGGTGTTTCATCACCGCAAAATTATAACGTGAGGTTGCTTGGTTAAATGCTCTTCTGCAATAAATGATCTCACTTGTAAATTGTTCGGCGCTATCAGCATAAGAACATCAGCTAGTGCTTGATCAACTCTTATGTTTGCATTTGCCTCACCTCGTGGAGCCATACATCCTGATCTGTAGCCTTTGATGACAAGCTGCTTGTCTATTATTGTCTATTGATCCTGATTCCTATAAATTGAAGTGCTTTGGAAAATGCAGGGCTTCAGCGTACTGCAGTGTGTTGTCACATTGGCTCAGAATATTTTCTTCCCCGAAAATGTTGAATGGTGTTTCATCACCGCAAAATTGTAACTTGAGGTTGTTTGGTTAAATGCAGTTCTACAATAAATGACCTCACTTGTAAATTGTTCCGCGCTATCAGCATAAGAACATCAGCTAGTGCTTGATCAACTCTTAGGTTTGCATTTGCCTCACCTTGTGGAGCCATTCATCCTAATCTGTAGCCTTTGATGACAAGCTGCTTGTCTATTATTGTTTATTGATCCTGATTCCTTTGAATTGAAGTATAGGAAAAGAGCCTTTCCTCGTGCCACATCGGTGCTCTCAGTTTTTACATTGAACTTTGTCTGGCGCCGAGAACCCAGGGCCTGCACAGGGGCCAACTTCTTGTGTTGTGCTGTACGGTATGGAGGGTTGGCTCATGGGGATGGCTTCCAATTTGCACTGTCAGGCGACGTCTTTATTTGGTACAAATTCACTTTGACTTTGATTATTGAACGAAGTCTATTTGTACCGTACCGTATTTACTCGCATAATCCTCGCACTTTTTTTCCCAAAAAACCCATGGAAAGTTGGGGGTGCGATAATTACGCGGGGAAAATTTTCCGCGGAAAGGTACAGCGCAAGGAAAAAAAAAGAAAACGGCCACAAATTGCAGTTTTTCCACAAGCAACTAAAAGCTTCAAAAAGTGCTGATACAAGGCTTACCTTTACAATGAAACTACCGTAATTACTCGAATCTAACGCGCACCTTTTTTCCGGTTAAGCGAGTTCATAAATCGCATGCGCGTTAGAATCGAGTACGAACAAAAAAATTACGGTCAATCTATTGCCATCGCAAATCCAAGATGGCCGCCCCCTACGTGCGTCGGCATGGTGCACGGAGGCTTCCTCCGTGGCATGGTGCGTCGGCTATTTCTGCCTATGTGTTTACCATGTGCGACACTTCGTACGTGTGCTGAGGAGTTCGTCATCTAGTAGTGCATTAGCATCGACGACGTGGAAGGGCCGACTCCAAAAACTCGAGTGCACCACGATGCCGCTTTTAAAAGAAAAGTCATCGCGTGTGCAGAAACGGACGGAAATCGGGCCGCATCGCGGTCCTTCTCGAAACGTGCGTGCGGGACCGGCGGAAACAAAAGCAGAAGATTGTCGACAGCAAAGCTTCACGCAAAGGCTTTAGTGGAACACAGCAGGGTCGGTTTCCGCAAATTGAAGAGCTGCTCCGCGAGTATGTGCTTGAGGAGCGAGCGGCACAGCGGCCCATGACAGAACTGCTCCAAGTGCGGGCTATGCAATTAGTCTTAGAAAAAAGTCTAATGCGGAGCCTGTTTAAAGCGAGCAGGTGCTGGCTAATTAACTATATGAAGAGGAAAGGCTCTTCCCTCCGAAGGGGAACATGCATATGCGAAAACTTTTGCGGAGAAGTACGATGAAAAGCTTTACAGTTTTCAGAGGTTCGTCCTAAACTTGCGGCGCAACAACGGCTACCTGCTTGGGCAAATCGGGAATGCCAATCAGACGCCTCTTTACTTCGACATGCCTGGCACCACAACTGTCGAGAAGGGGGCGAAGCAAGTTCGCGTGCTGACATCGGTCCACGGCAAAACTACAGTGACGGCAATGCTCTGTTACACGTCAGATGGGCACAAGCTTCGCCCGTACCTCATATTTAAATGGAAGACAATCCCGAAAGGAATCGTTTTTTCGAGTGGTGTGATCGTGCGGGCCAGCAAAAAAAAATGGGTGCGCGTTGCAATCGATGTCTTACGTTTTTTTGTTTTTTTTTTTCGCGGTGGAAATCGGGTGCGCGTTACAATCGAGGGCGCGGTAGAATCGAGTAAATACGGTACATGTTCAACCCAAATCAAGGTTTATTTGCACAGAAAAAGGTCACTAGCTAATAAATTAGTCTCTTCGGCGAACTACTCGGAGCCCGAATCAAGACTGCCATCTTCGTCGCTCATAGCACCACGTCGTCTTCCGTCCCGTCCAAGGCGTTGGAGATCCCAGGCTTTTTGAAGCTGCGGACGATAATTTCTGGCGAAATCATGGACCATGCCTCGATTACCCACGAACAAAGGATCTCCACCGACGGCTTCTTTATCTTGCCCCCGGGAGTCATTGCGTGGTCGCCTTCGGCCATCCATTCTGAATACACCTCCGAACATTATCCTTGAACGGCTTGTTCAAGGATACGTCAAGAGGCTGCAACATCGAAGTCAGACAGCCTGGAATGACAGCGAGGTCAGTCCGCAGCCCCTTCAGCTTCGCCCGAACGGAGTCGACCAGGTGACCGCGGAAGCTGTCGACAACCAGCAGCGACGGGTAAAGAAGTGCTCCAGCGCGTCGTCCCCAAACAGTTTTTACCCAGTCGACCATAAGGTCGACGGTCATCCACCCTTTCTCCTGTACACGCACGTGTATTCCAGGGGGAAACTTGGCCTTCGGGAGGGTCTTCCGCTTAAAAATAATAAATGGGGGCAGCTTCTGCCCGTCCGCTGTTACGGCGAGCATGACGGTGCACCTCTGCTTCTCGGCACCCGTCGTTCTAATATGCATGCTCCGCACACCCTTCTTCTCCACCGTTGTGCTTGGCGGCATGTCGAAGTTGAGCGGAGTTTGATCCACGTTTCCAATTTGTGAGAGCAGGAAGTTCTTTTGCTCCCGAATTCTAATCACAAATCGATGAAACTCGATGACCTTATCATCGTTCGCCGAAGGTAGCCGTTGACACAGAGTCGTCCGTTTCCTGAGCGAGAGTCCACTTCGGTGCATGAACCGTGTGGCCCATCCGTTGCTCGCGCGGAAATCTCGTGCCGGGATGCTTTCCTTCCGGGCAATTATGCGCGCCTGATTTCTCAGCAGCTCGATCGAAAGGGCACACCTGTCCGCGCGTAGACTCTTGATGTATTCGAGTAGTGCCGCCTCAACCTGTGGGTACTTTTCAGAGTCTTAGGCCCACGGAAGGCCTTGCGTGACTTGTTCGTGGCTTTAAGCTGTTCTTGCTGCCGTCGCCAGTAGCGCACACAGAACTCGTCCACGCCGAAGTGCCTGCCGGCGGCCCTGTTGCCGTGTTCTAGAGCGTGGTCGATGACCTTTAGCTTGAAATTAGCTGTATAGCTCTTGTATCGGCTCATCACGTAGCTGCAGAAAGGACAATGCTAGCCACGGATCACAACTGCGCTACCTCGGAACACCGCACCACAGACCGCACTACTAACACTAGCGCCATGCCACAGAACGCTGTCACACGCCGTGCCACAAGTGCTACTACGCAACTTGCGACTTGGTTTGGATTAGATTAGAGCTCCGTTCTAGCAAGTTAGTAATTGTTTCTCTTCCCTTTTGAAACGGGGCACGCGTATCACGCGCCACAGGAATAAAAGTAAATAAATAAATAACTGGTCTATTCGTCCACTGGCCAGGCGTCAGTTTCCTTAATGCGCGTCAGAATTTCCTCAAACGCTCAAACACACACACAAGCAAGCGCCCAATAGTTCGGTGTAAGTCAAGCCGAGCCAAGGCTAGCCGTCTTCCGCACCTGTTCTATGGAGGAAAGAAAAACATGACCTGCTTCACTTTCCTTCCTCCGTGACCTGCTCCATTCACGTGGTTTAAAGTTATCTCACAACGGCACTTGGATGTTTACTCTGATAACGGCACATGTTGGATCACTTTAGTTTGCCCCCGACTCATCGAAATCGAGTGACGGGCTGCGGGTGCGCGGGGTTTAAGAAGAGGAGGGTGTGTGGGGCGTTTCCCTGGCCGATGTGTTTTCTCGGCCCCTCTGTTAAGCTGGTCCCAGCGTAGCAGGAGAGTCTTCGTGGAATTTACCCGGTTTCAATGGGTTTCATCAGCATGCATGATGCATAAGAGATGGCGCTACGCTAATGGGTGCTATTATCATCATTGCTCAAAGCAACAGACGACATCTGCTGCTGCGATTTTTGGGGTGCGATAATTACGCGAGGAAAAAAAAATCACATTTTTGTTAGCCGATGTTGGGGGTGCGAGGATTACGCGAGTGCGAGGATTATGCGAGTAAATACGGTATATACTCGTGCAAGGGCCACACCTTTTTTTCCAAAAATTTTGCTAGGTGCGGCCCTTACACGAATCAGGCCGATGACATATCACCCAAGGTTTTACTGTTTATGCTACAGTAGCAGAGTGCAAGAGAGTCACAAATGACATGCCAGGAATGTTTTTATTCAGATTCCATTTCGCTGTCGCTGTCCTTGTTTTCAGTGAAGCTCGCCTCGGCGACCGCGTC